TGTGAATAAACCTCCGTTTCCATCCAGCGAGTTCAAGAGAACAAAATCTTTACTATCTGGTAAACTGGCAGCAAATATCAGTAAGAAAAAAGGAAGTTGCTGCAATCGGAGAAGCCACTGCGACTTTTTTTTGTACATAATTACTTGTGCCTCAAGAGCACGCAGACGAAACGCAATAAACTCAAAGTTACTGTGCATTCAGAGGCGGATTCATGATCTTTGGGAACAGATTTGTGTAAAACAGTTCTGGGATGCAATTATTTACCAAATCATCTTGGCGACGGATTTTGGCCCAGGCTTTTCAGAATGACTAAACCAACATTTCAGATGCTTTGCAATGAGATTGGTCAGCTGATTAGTACAGTTATGCTATATGTTATGATCTGTTAAAGCAGTCACATGACTTTTTGATGTGCAAAAAAAATGTATTCTGTCAATGTGTTTCCATCGTAGTTTATGCATCGTCTACAATCTCGAGTGCTTGTGGCTTTAAGGCAAGTCAGTTCACTTGGCCGTCATCTTGGCAGAGCCAAGTGTAAAAATATGAGTTTGCCAATGGTTTCAATTATGTTTTTGCAGTGATCGCTGGAATCAGGGACTGAAATATTACTAGTAGAACTTTGCTTTGGGAAGAAATGAGATTGTTTCCGTTTTGAAGGCCCCAATCTGGCTGCAGTCGTGCGTCAGTGAATCCCAGAGACCATCCCTGCAGTCTCATGTCTGAGAATTTATGCTTGACTTTCTTCCTGATGTGGTCACATAAGACAATAGGAGGAATTCTAGGAGAAACGCTGGCTACTACGTCAGCACAAGTGAATTCATAAGAGCAGAGATTTAAAAACAAAAACGGGAAATAAGGTCACCCCTGCATTACAGAAGCATTACTGTACCTTCAAAACCTTCTGCCTCTCCTTGTTGTTCATGGGCACTTTGTCACATCTGACCAGTTCTATGTCAAACCCATCTCCAGAGTGCCCCATAATATCATACTACAGTGGAAAAAAAACAGGAAGAAGGAGAAGGGTTAGTCCACGCTGCAAAGAACATAACAAGCAGACAAACAATGATATGCCCCATGCAGGAAATACACACTCTTCAGGAAACGATTATTATTAGTGTACCTTAGGGTATTTTTGTCATTGTGGTTATCTGAGATGTGTCAATGATGCAAAACAAAACAAAAAGACACATACCACAATATTGGATAAAACTTTTTCAAATAACTGCACGGCAGTTTCTGTCTGGAATCCATGATACACAAAACACAGACGTTTTAGAAAATGTGTGTAGATAAGTTTTTCCATAGATAATAAAGATTAGCATTTACTTCCAAGTCACAAAACTCTTGTGATGTGATGCTGATGTAAATGAGTTATAATTACATAACACAATGTGGATGGCAGACTCAGAGAGTTGATGTTATGAGTTACACTCATGAACGGTCAATCAAAATGGGAAGTTTCATAATAATCTTTTGTCCAGCTCAACAGTGAGCGAGTGTCTTTGCCAACAATGCAGCAGTTGATGGCACTGACAATCTGAAATACATAAAATTCCATTACGTCAATATGTTTTCAGCAAACGTTTGGCTAGTCGTATCAAGGGGACAGTAGTCTCAGCCTCAAGCAACCTGCCCACTGATGTATACTGTACAGCAAGGTTGCAGAAGTTGATTGAAATTCCTAGATCAGATCTGACTGGTTAACTTTACACAGTATCTGGGAATCAGAGTGGACTGGTTTTAAACGGTCTACTGTATTTGGAAGGTTCTCGGCCAGAAAAAGCATCAGTGTGGACCAGACTCTATGTTGATTGTCAAAGGTTTGGCTACTAAACTAAGGGAACACAGAGTAATGTATAACCTGCAGTGCTGAGCGGGTCAAAGGACAAAAGAGAAGAATGCACCTGCCTTTAGATCACAGGTGGATGAGTTATCAGATGCACTTTTATGTAATGCAGATTATGTAAGTGTCACAGAGAAACAGATATATGACAGGCCAGCTGGATGAGCCGTTTGACAGCTAACGTGGGGCCATAAAGTCTGGCGGCCCACACACACACGAACATACTTACCATCTCACATATCACTGTCATGTCGTTCATCTTTGTCACCATCTATTACACTCTACAGTAACTGAGTTCTGACTAGGGCTGGGCAATATAGCTAAAATATATACACTACTGTTAAAAATTTTGGGGTCAGCAAGCGTTTATTTATTAAAAATATATATTTTAACATGTATCACGGTATCCACCAAAATGTTAAGCAGCACAACGGTTTTCAACCCTGATAATAATAAATGTTTGTTGATACAGCCAATTCTAAAGAACTGATTCACAGAAATGAACTGAACTTACCAGCTCTTTGCTATTGAGATCTAAATCAGAGACACTATCACAACCTCTCTGTCTTAATGCTATTTTATTCCAACTGCACTACTTGCATTTGTTTTCAGTAAACCTAATGGAAAATAAGTGTCTTAAAAATCATCACTACTGGCTCGTTTATCATGGTCAAAAATTTATATTATATATTTAAGCAATATTGATATGCGAGCAATGCACTGCCCTGTGATTGAGATGTTTCAATGCTGTTGGTAGTCAAATTACTGCACCGGATCCAGCTGTTTTATAAATATTACACATGATCTATTTTTATATCATCCCGCCTCAGATCTGACCACACACATTGAAAGTGTTGATGGGCATTAGAGCAGAGCGGGATAATGTGAGCCATTGACAGCCGCAGCTGCATATCTTCCGCTGTCTTCCTCCCCAAAACTCCCCGGGATGGAGATAACAGATCATCTTTTGTGCAGGCACTACAAATCGGCGAGCAGCTCCCAACAAGAGCCGTGATTCACTGCCTCCAGAGCATCTGCCAGCAGCTCAGACGGACAGAGACGGAGAGATGCAGGCAGGAAAAAGAGGAACATCACGTGAAAGAGAGAGACTGAGAGAGCTACTTACCAATAATAAACCTAAACCACCACGACTGTCTCCATGGCAGCCGATACCTTACATCATCCTTATTGCCATGGCGATCTCCATAACAGTGTGTCAGCATGTGTGGTGGGGACATCCCTATTACTCATCAGATCGGCCCAAGACTTTCACTGTTTAAGGACGTCAACAGAAGGGCTGTTTCCATGGTGTGTTGCCTGGAGAAGGTTTATTGTAAACAGATTTCACTATTTTTATTGCGTTTGTGGTGAGAAGATTGCGATAGATCAACGTCTTGTGACTATATTTAAACTCTGTGGGCAACTTAAGATGAGATGGCCATCAAAATTAGATTCCCTGAGCACTGGTGTGAATTTATTTCAAATGAAAGCTCTGTCCCAAAATCTTGTGAGACACCTTGCTGTCTAAATAGTCTGGTCTTCTAAGGCAGCATCTTCATTCAAATGGAACCATAAATGACTAAGCTGGTAAACTAATTTTAGTTTAAACTGGTCCCCCAACCTAGCTAGCTGAAAAGTGACTAAAATTCAGTCATTTTAGAAAAACATATCAGTAAACCAGACCAGATTTTTTTTTGTTTTGTTTTTTTTGGCAGGGATGTTGCAAAGCTAATAGCAACTCCAAAAAGCACAAAATAAATCACATGCATTAATACTGAATAAAATACAGATTTTTTTTATAATGATTTTTTTGCATTTCTTAATTTTTTAGCAATGCATTAATTGGATCAAACGTGACAGTAAAGACATTTATAAAGTTACAAGATTTCTATTTCAAATAAATACAAATTTGAACTATTAATCAAAGAATCATGAATAAAATCTATCACGGTTTGTTAAAAAATATTACACAGCACAAATGTTTTCAACATTAATAATAAGAAATGTTTCTTGGGGGCAATAAAATCAGCATATTAGAATGATTTCTGAAGGATCATGTGACACTGAAGACTGGAGTAATTATGATGAAAATTCAGCTTTGAATTACAGGAATGAGTTACATTTTAAAATTTAGTCAAATAGAAAAGTTATTGTAAATCATAATATTTCTGTTTTTATTGTATCAATTAAATGCAACCTTGGTGAGTATTAAACCTTTCTTTCAAAAACATCACCAAATCAGGTAACACTTTATTTTGATAGTCCACTTTAGACATTCTATTAACAGTAAGTAACTTTGCAACTACATGTCAACTAGCAGTTAGTAGAGTATTAGTAGACTGTCTGCTTAATATCTTCTAACACTTTCTTTGTCAACTTATTCTACTAACCCTAAACCTACCCTAACAGTCTACTCTGAGAGTTAGTAGACATGTAGTTGCAAATTAATGAGAATTAGTTGACATGTAGTTGACATGTAGTTACAAAGTTACTTATAGTTAGTAGAATGTCTAAAGTGGACTATCGAAATAAAGTGTAACCCAAAATCATACTGACCCCAAACTTTTGAACAGTAGTGTACATGTATAACCACTTGCGATCACTTTGTCCACCATCTTGGATGGATTTTTTCTCTTAAGTCAGAAAAATGCCGATTACTGTTTGTCAAATCTCACCTTAAACTTGTGCTCATAGTTCTCAAGGGCCTCCATCACCATACACACGGCCTCCATGAAGCGCTCCAGACGGCCATCCACGCCATTAAAGCGATACATGCTGCCAGAAACATCCGCTAGCAGACATAAACGCTTCGGCTTCTGCTGAGGAGACCCCTACTGCAGCCAGACCAGAGGAAAACACATAAGTCATCCACACTTCCAGACTCGAATGACCAGACAAATATATAATTAGGAAAATCGTTTAATACAGTTACTATGTGGTTGCTTTAATTGCAGCATTTTGTTTGCCCAGACTCCTCTTCTGAAAGGCTTTATGGGCAGTGAGGTTTTTAATGGATTATGCAGGAGCCACATAATATACTGAAGGTTATTACAATCAATTCAGAAAGCAGATTTTAAATGAGGGCTTATGGGAAACTCTAAATATTATGTGATCTTCTTGCTGTGACAGTCTGCTAAACTGCCATTCATGATTACTAGTGCCTCTCCTTCCCTTTAGCCTGAAACATAAACACCATTTACATATTTTACTACTACTAGAAAAAAGCTCATTCAAATAGTGTTCTTGCTATATATCAAAAAATGTTTAGTGAGGTTCAACACTAGCTCTACATATGAAATCAAAATAATTAACAACAAATAATACAAGTTCTGTAATAAAATAATTAGTACAACAGTGAAGTATAAAAAGGCAGAACAATCTGTCAGACTTTACAATAAGGTCCCATTAGTAATGCATTAACTAACATTAGTACTTATTAACCTATGTACAAATGAGTTAATAAAAATACAGCTATTTAATTTATTTAATAAATACAATTTTTTATTTTTATTAATATATTAGTCAATGTTGAAATTAACATTACCTAAGATTACTAGAAGCTTTAGAAATAAGTATTTTTCATTAACTAATGTAGGCAACCAGTGTTGACAAATGGAGCGTTATTGTAAGTAATATACAAAATAATTGAATTTTTCAAACTCAGTTGTGAGCTAAAATGCAAATCTCAGTCATGACCATGACCCCCAGCGGGTCCTTGACCTCCTCGGCTTCAAACATGGATCCAAATATCAACAAACACCCATAGAAGCACTTCCACATGTGGCTCTCATTATATGAGCGAGTATGTCAGATCTCCATGAAGAACAATGAACCAACACGTCACTACTCATCCCTCACACACACACACACACACAAGCACGTACAAACACAGGCATGTAAGCACACACAGATTCAGACACATTCACAGACATACACACGCCATACACCCATTATTATTATCCAGGTAATAAGGAAAGCACCACATATGCTCTTGCAAAAGTTTCAGTCAGAAGTGTGAAGTAATAAAGAGTCATGGGCTGAAGAAACAGCACAGAGGCTGAGGGCACTCCAGGAACTGACTGAATGGATGAGATCATCTTCTTTATTCTGTGTCACATCTCAAGTCTGTGTGAGAAGGAACTCTAATGCTCCATTTCCACACAAATGCTGCCCTCACTTACACTGACTTCAGATCTGAATGATGACAGAACTGACTGTGTTACAACATAACCTGCCCACAAACAAACACAGCACATCAAGGCTTTTATGTATGACACATATTCCCAAACTTTTTTGTCAGCCCAACCCTTTTGACCTAAAATATTCACTTGAGATTTTAAGTTAATATATAATAATTCAACAACAACAACATTAACCAGCATCAGGTAAATAAATAAACTAGTAAGTGTTTTATATTGATTGATTGTTTTTTTCAGTTTCATATTTTTATGATTTAATTAATTTATAACATTTCTTAACCTCAATTCACTAACCTCCTGCAGTTTCCTCAGAACCTCCAGGGGTTCGCAAACCCCAGTTTGACATAAATATTTTCATGTTATATTAAAATCATATTGTCATATTAAAATGATCTGAAACTATTTTGTCAAAATAAATAAAAATAAAACGAAAACTTCAATCTGAAATCAATCTGTTACAATCTAAATGTAAAAATAGTGGAAATGAGCATGCACAATTAGCTTCTCAAAATCTGCAAATATGGTAGTGATATTATGCATCCCTTCTTGTAATCTCAACTAAAACAAATTATAATTTTTTTGGTTATATTTTGAAACGTTTTGAAAAATACCCAACTCTTAAGTATATGCAATATAGTGATGTTCGCCTTTGTAAACACCATTAGTAGAAGTCCTCAAACTAATATAACAGCATGTGGTCTCAGAGTATTAATGAGTGCATATACCTGTTGCATCTGGACCAATCAGACACACAATTTTTTTAGTTATATTTAACAAATACTCTGTAACACCCCTCAGTCAACAAACCAACTATGAGGGTCTATGGACCCTTCCCCCAAAATGCATCTAACACCTCAGAAAGGCAGAACAGGCCTCTGGTTCCATGGCAACCAATGCTGATATCACTGGTTTTATTGCCCAAAGGAATGCGGGCAGAAAAACTCACAATTCATTTACCCTTAGGAAAGACACACAATGCCCATAAAAATGGACTCTTCTCTAATTAATTCATAGAAAAACCTTTCTGTGAATAAACACACATCTCCTCAGGACATTGTGTATACCATTACTTTTCTTGTATATTGTCTTTTGAATTGTATACTGTTTTGTGTGTGTGTTATGATAGATCACTAGTTAATATAACCCCACCGATACCATGTTTGGTCTCTTTGAATTTGTCTTCTGATGATCTAAACGAGAGTGTATATTATATGTTGGTACATAGGCAATATATTAGTGTTCTAAGAATCTTTAGTAATTTTGCATCAACACCCAATCGAGTTTCATATGCAAATGACCATGCTCTCACACAAAGGGTCATAAACCTCCCCAGTATTTCCAACCTCCCGCTTGGAATTTCAGCCTTTCTCATTGGACAAGCCCATCCTGAGAGGCGTGAATCTTCTCAGACCTTAAAAGGCTCACGCACAGTTCCGCCCATGTAGGTTTAGTATAAGCTGTAGACCCTGTTCTAAAACGGCGCTGATGGTTTTACTCAGGTGGTTAACTGACTCTTTTCATAGCTTCATTCTCTGGTTTTCCTGATGGTTTCATCCATCAAGTCTCATTTGCCCTTTCTCCTGTATGAGGGATTGTTTGTTTGTTAGACTAGTTTGTTAGTGTTTAGTTAATAAAACTCTTGTGCACAAATTACACGAGTTTCTGATTCTGCTTTGCAAATTAATGTCGATTTTCGATTTTGATCCTTACTACATGCTGTAATGCATTAATACTGTATGAAAGTATTTTCTGTGGCCACGGAAATATCCTTTCCTAGAGTTGATATGAACTTACACTGAATGTTCGCTGGACGAACAGATTGGTTGATGGCAATTTAATTCTGCTACAGTTACTACTGGCAGCTGATATAAATAATTGTAATTAATCATAATTAACTGTAATTATTTATATATATTTCCCTTTTGAGCTAATTTGCTACATACCACACACTACTGCACAACCTGCTGCTAACACTTATCTGTCAGGTAGGTGTGTGAATGTTTGGGAGAGTCAGCTGTGGAAAAACATATGCTATGATGAGCAGTGATTACAGAGTAAAGGCATGGCTCCAAATGTGTGGTTTTGCTCTCTTTTTACAGCTCTCCTATACATTCCTTTGAAGATGAAGGAGCTGTTGTTGTTTTTGTTTTTCTGTTCCTCTGTTCACCATATAACATTCAAAAGTTTAGAAAACTTGACTAAATTTATGTTTCTTGTGATCTTAAAAAATGCAAATTGTACCTGCATATGATTTTTTTCCTCTCATAAAATTTGTTTCTTTGTTTCTTTGTTGTTTGAAAAAAGTAACAATAATAATAAATAAATTTTAAAAAAAATTTCAGAAATATGTATTAATTTATTTATTTTTGGAAAAATAGTGCACAGAAAAATAAATATTTTTGTGCACCCAAAAATAATTGTTGTAGTTGGAAACTGAATAGAAAAGGAAGAGCAGTTACTAAGTGTCTAGCATACACGTAAACATCAACAGTGTTTAAAAAGCATCCCAAGATGCACCTCACAAAGTTGGTTGAAAATTCTACTATTATTCCAAGATGTTGAAAATAATAATAATAATACAGAATGAGTATATGTTTCTAACCTCTGACTGTTAGTGTATGTGTCAGCACCTTTACAGGAGCAAATGAACAGGCAGTGGCCAAATTACTATCCGGAAAAGGCCCAAGCGGTGAACAGAGGCTCAGGGTAAGGTGGAGGTTAAGTTCTTCTCAGAACAGAACCTGTGCAGAGCGATGCCAGTGCGATCATCTGGACCACACACAGGCCCGTGTGGCTGCCAGCTCTCTTTACAGCACTATCGTATGTGAAAGGAGATAGTGCTGATTTAGAGGAGCGGACTGTGAAAGACAGACAGAGATAATCCTTGTCACCATGTTTTTACATAAACACATGTGTCTTTGAGCAGAGCTCCTCACACGGGCTGCCAAAGAGGAACCTGATCCTCCCAGCGGCTGGAGCCGGCGCTCTGTTCACACAGCACAGGGAATCCAAACGAGCACTCAGCTCAGCGTGCACACAGATCTCAGATCAGATCGGGCCGCCGCCGCTTGCTTTGTACAACGTGGACGAGGCAACCAGCTGGTCTTCAATCAGCATTTTCTGAGAAACTCCACCCATGTTCCAGCGCTCTGTCCACCCACACCCAAACAAAAAAGATCAGACGTGCTACCGGACATCCTTCCATACAGAATGACAGCCGCCTGGGTCCATATCGATGGACCAATCGGAGAACAGGGCGCCTAATAATAATAACAGCGCATGTTCTTTTGGAGTAACAGGATGTCTTGACTCTCATGAGTTGGCTGAAAAGCTAAAGGAAAACCATTTGTGTGGTTGCGTGTGTCTTCATGTGTGCACAGAAGTGTCTTTATGTGTGCATAAGAGTGTGTGTACTAGAGCTTTCACGAATACTCATATATATATATATATAGTGAAAGCGAAGTGACATGTGGCCAAGTATGGTGACCCATACTTGGAATTTGTGCTCTGCATTTAAAATGGTTGTTTGAGTGGGTGTTATATAGTGAGTGAGTGATATGAAACAGCTGTGTGCAATCAGTGCAGTGTGTAATCAGTGCAATGAATGATGGGATATGTAGTCCGGGGTGCTATGCAACAGTTTGTGTTGTGCGAGAGTCAATGTAATGGAAAGGGTGACCTCTGGTGGTGAATGAACGGAAGTCCATGGACAGGATTCGTGACAATTATTATATAATATATTAACGTATATTATTATATAATATTAATATAACGTGCGACTAGTTGACTAGAAAAATCTTTAGTAGAGGTCAGGCCTACTTAGCACAAGGAAGCTCTCCATTTTTAAAATAAAATGCTAATGACATTATGAAAAGTGCAACAGCTGCAAATCACGTCGTTACTGCACTGCACCAGTTATGCATGCATAAGGAGTCAAATGTTGTTGTTTTTGTTTTTTTTATCACCCTACTTATATTAT